CAGAAAACTTTCAATTTTTTTAGTCTTGTGTAGAGAAAAGAACAGAATGACTTAAAAATGCGGAAACGAATTGTAGTAGAATAGGCGTAAAGGAACAGTGTTGAACGAATGGCGATATTACTAATTTAAGTAATCCATATAACACCAGCTGAGACATCACTCTCTATATGGGAAGCACTCCGCTGACTTATTCAATTCTTATTACTGTGTCAGTAGAATTTGAGATAATGAAAATTCTCAGTTCATGTTTGAAGAATTCAAATTCTGCCAGAAGAAGTGCGACCAGCATGAATTGTTGGTTTTGTGACAAACCAGTTGATACGACCAAGCAACCGATCACAATTGAGGGAGGAGGGATGGAGGAAGAGCAACCGATTTTGTTTGTGTTGAAACTTTTACACTGCCGATATGGACAAACCGTAGGAGAAGGGCGGAGGTTAACTGTCTCTCCATAGAAGACAATTAATGATGCATTTTTGAAGCGGATAAAATTATTCATTATCCAGGACAGGTGAAACGAAACGAAAACTTTTGAGGAAATGAGGTATGAATACAATTAAACATGAATGAACAAATAAAACAACAATAATTACAAAACAACGCCAGCTAATTTGATTTAACGAGATAATCACAAGTTACTGGAAATCCGATGCTACTTGCGCTGCGGCGGCCGTTTGAGCGAGTTTGGGATTGCCGGTGGTTTGTATGGCTAGTGCGATAGCAGTCGAACGGTTCGGTCGATTTTCTGCAAAGGCGGCGAGTCGGGTATCTGGCATCGGCTGTTGTTCCATATTCAGGTGGTTGTTGCACGTTCGAGTGGATTTCTCATTCGAGGTAGCGACAGTTCGACGGCACTTTTGCTTTCGCTGCAGCAGACGCATGGATTAGTCTGTTTCCTAGATGCCAGTAGTTTGCTGCTGCCTGTGGGAACGGTGTCTGTTATTCCTCAGTTTGTAGTCTGTTCGGTTCAATTTATATGGGTTGAGGTCCTTGCAAAATTTGTACGGGTTGAGGTGACACCTTAATATTAGGTAACTGGCTATTGCATTGAATAGCAACAATACTGCTGATATTATCCAGCGGCGACAGTGGGTGATGGGGATTGAAGCTTTCGATATTTGTTCTCGCGTTAGAACTTTGATGAGTGCATATATAGTTGATTTTTTTGCAATTACTCATTCCGAACTGTTTATCACAAACCTACGGACACTTTTTGCGTGGTTACTTTGAAAGATGTTTTCGTCGTGATTTCGAATGACTTTTATAATTGATCGTGAACGATGTCGGTCGTTTTACGATCAATTTTTCAAATAAGTCGAGGCAAGTGAAGTTCCCTAAAATCTATCGATTCTTTTCTATGTATCAGGGATTGTTTTGAATCGATCAATATTGATCACCCTCATGCGACTATTTCGCCTTTCAAATGCTGATAACAATTTGAATGATGACAGCTTAATCGCATTTCATTGCGCAACATGAAGATCAACGCCGCGGAAAGGGAGAGTGGGGATGGAGTGGTTCTAAGGCTATGATAAGACATTAAGCGTAGTCATGATGATGCTTTCATTCAATCGCAAGACAATGATTCATTCATTCAGTTGATCAACTCATACAACATGAACGCTTCCATCAAACATGCGGATGCTGCGACTTCATCGAATACCTTCCATCTGTTTCTTGCATTCTCCAACGTTTTTCAATGTTCTCATCACGAATTTAAAACATTTTCCTTTGACAATTAATTACTTCCTTCAAAGTCTTTTTCATTAACATCATATTTGGCTTTCCTGATCTCTAGATATCACTGAGACTAAGGTGATCAACCTTTGAAGAACTACTAAAGTGATCAACCGTTCGTGGCTTGAATAATCCAACATCTCGCAATGTTGAACCTTCCAAATTCAACTGGATTCAATACTTGTTTCGTTCGATTTCCGACGACTGTTAATCGCTCTGTGTGTAATCAACGTTTCGTTCGAATCAACAAATGAGTAGTTGAGAATTCAAAGCTCAGTATACTCAACATTCTGGAAGAAAACGATCGAGGAAGTCATATTCGGGATGGTTCCAGCGAATCCAGCGAAAACCATAACATTCCACCTTCTGCTGATTCAGTTGTCGTTGAGATGCTATTGATTAGGATCGTATTTTGTATTTCTGGACCCGCAAAATAGTGCATATAAATTTGACCTCAACGTATGATCGTTGGACAGGAATGATAAACTTTCGAATTCTGAACAGCATTCCGAATCGCAATCTTAATACATTGATTTTCGAATCATACGCGCTCATAACTCTTCATATCACGTCATGATTACTTATGAACAAGTAACGATGAACCGTATTCTGATTTTTCACTCATTCTAGTTCAAATCAAACAGTTTTCCCAAATAATAATTTGCACAGACACACGTACTCCCAAAATCGAAGTCATTCTGTTGTTCTAGTTGACTTCAAAACTCGTCCTCAGTATATCAAAGTTATCTTATCAGGATAGCGACCGCCCTACCCAACTGTTCATCAGTACCGTTGTCGATGTCTAATGAAACCGATTCCTATGAACTGTTATGTCGTTCACGAATCGTTAACAACAATGTGCGGAATACATCGTCCGCAGGATTGCGATTCAGATGATAAGATCGCTATCCTCATCCCTTATAAGTGATAAACAATTGCGACTTACCTCTTCCTTTCAATTACTATAGTCGCTCTTCCTTACTTAATTCTTGAACTGATAATTGGTAACAAACGAGACAGGAGCATATTGAAAGTACTTGCGCGGTGACAAACAAATTACGCAAGATCATTCATTTGACATCTGTGTAAAGGTGTTCTAGTTTTCTCCGCAAACATCTTCAAACTGACCTGAACTTTAGAATTCCTCCTCAAAATTGCTCATTTTGGAAATCATAATTCGACAGATTCGTATTCAGATAAGTGAAAAAAACTGGTAAGTGATTCAAAAACGCTGAATAGAATATGCGGCTTGTTCTGCTCAAGTGATCACATCCAAAAATGATCAGAAAGAAAATTTGTACAATTTGAGAAACCGACAAGTTCATCTACAAATTCTTCTCAGTTATCTGTTTGAATTTTTGAGTGAATCCCGAACGTATTTCGCAATTTTCATCATAGAACCAATTGAAGGACAGGCGAGTATCCGTGCGCGTGCAGATATTTTACGTTGATCGAATAATTTTGTTCATAAACTTTGAAGAAATCAGTGGTCCAAAACATATCACCAGTCAGACTGTGGAATGGCTTAGGTGAAGGGGCACTGCGGATGGTCTCTGGAAGATCAAATAATCGTCCTAAGATCTCAGCGCAACTCCCAATAAATAATTTTAACCTTTCAACTTGCTAATATGGATTTTTTAGGTGTTCAACCGTGGTAAGCTCTTCAGCATAGGCTGTAGTCTCGTGAACACCATTGAAGATTGGGATTTTTTCTTCTTTCATGATGTCGATCTGTTGCCAACAAATAAACACCTACCTTAGAGATACCCTCGAAACGGCACTGCACAGCACTGGAGTAGCGCTATCGACAAATATGATTTCAAATTGATTTCCAATTCGCAGCTGATCATCGCCTTTAAAAGATGAACAGTAGATTGTGGATATGTGTTATTATGCGTGAACGGACAATTTGTCAGCAGATTTTTGACTGCGGACAGTTTGTCTAAAGACACATTGCCTAGCCGGCGGTCCGTCAAGTGGACATTTTGCTTGTCGCAGTTTGCCTAATGGGAATTTTGCCTAATATCATTTCGCCTAATGGGCGTGCGAGATTGTTCGGCGCACCCGTTTAGAATATGTTGGAAATGTTCATCTCGTGGCTATTATTAGAACATCTGTACATATTAACGTTGGGAACTTTGATGGCTTCAATCAAAGTCAGGTTTTGACCAATGAATTTTATCAAGAGGATACAGCGCGTTTAGTGCATATTCATCACCGTTGATGAAAAGCTTGCTCCAGCCGTCTCCTTCAAGGAATTATGTTTGGATTCATAAACAACACATTTCCTTCATTGGTGAAAACCTCATATCGATTGAAGCCATCAAAATCCCATCGTTGATATGTACAAGTGTTCTAATAATAGCCACCAGATGAACATTCCCAACATGTTTTGAACGGGTGCCCCTAACAATCTCGTACGCCCATTAGGCAAAATGGTAATATATTAGGCAGAATTCCCATTAGGCAAACCCCGATAGGCAAAATGTCCAGTAGACAAACCGTCCGTTAGGCAATGCATTTTTAGACAAACTGTCCGTAGTCAAAACATCTGTTGACAAATTGTTCGGATACCGTCATTATGACCCTATAAAGTTGAGATGTGCGCGTGTCATTTATGATCGCACATTCTGCAAACTCTTCTTTCTCTATCCATCCTCCCGTCTGGCATTACTGGAAACGAAAAATGTTTTGAAGCAAATTGGATTATGCAAATGCATTCCATACTGTTCAGCTTCTCATTGCTGTTTCATTTTCGTTAAGCATCGCACTTCAAACTGATACTATTGGTTTCATCAGCATCAGTTCATGAGTCCAAAGAATTGAACGATTGTTGATTGAATTTCATGAAATAAACTCATCGTTGTTGCACTACGAACCTGTCACAGTGTCTCATATACCAATCACGGTATTTCGAGAGCCGGAAAGAAATTATCTTTGTTGTGAAATTCACGACAAAAGTGGTGCCACGAGCCGGGAGTCAAGGACACTATGTCAGGTTCGTACAGACAAGCGATGGGCCCCCTAAGGGGAGGTTGATTGGATACTTGCGAAATGTTCCTTGTCTCAAAATCCCGGACCTTGAAAGTCCTCAGCCAGAGAGGGTTGAATTTCTCGAAGAACAGATCGATGAATTTGAGGATTTCACAAACAAAGTAAGTAAGACAATCGAAGTCTTAGAAAAATACCTCACCCAATGGATCAATCTCAAAAGTAATTTGGAAGGGGACAAAGCTGCCAAAGAAAACGCAATTTTTGATGAGATGGCTTCCGACCCTAATGGTGTGTTGCAACTCATAGATAAAGCTAGGGACATACTCGATGTAGTGCAGAGAGACGCAAAGAAAGCAGCCAGACTAGTCACAAAACTAAGTGAGCAAAACACACAGCCAACAACGCAAGCAAATATGACAAACATCAAACTTCCTAAGCTAGAGTTACCCATGTTTTCAGGCAATATTCTCAAATGGCCGGAATTCTGGTCAGCGTTTGAAGCCGCGGTGGACAGACAACCCATCCCCGACATTAACAAGTTAAATTATTTGCTGAGTAGCTTGAAGGGTTTTGCGCATGAGGTTGTAGAGGGATACGCAGTTACTTCGTCTAACTACAGGGTCGTAGTAAGTGTACTTAAGGAACGATTTGGTAATGAGAGAATCATCATAAAGTCCCTCCACGATGAATTGAAAAGAATACGTCAAGCTGATCCCAAAAACCCCTCTCAAACCATCAACGAAATTGAACGGGTACTCCGGCAGCTTGAAGCAATGAACGAAGATATCAAACATCCGATTATCGAATTGATCGTGGAAGAAAATTTACCGAAGTGGTTACTCATCAATATTTACGAGTGGGATATCAATAAACTGCGCGAATATATCAATGAAGTGGTCATCAGAAGAGAAGAGGTGGACCGTATCACAAACAATTCAATATGGGTATCCATCGCAAAGAAACGAAGTCGGGAACAAAAAATCGATCAGAACTGAAACGAGCAAATCATCAGCGTTCGTAGCAATCAGTGAAAAGAAGAGAAGAGAAAAGGGAAAGAATGAGGATCGAACTTGTGCATTCTGCGAAAAATCCCACTGGAGCAATCAATGCAATGAATATACATAGATAGATAGATTGTTTATTGCCGAGTAAGAAATATGTACAAGCAATAATACAGCATGAAAGGCGGAGCGCACTGACATCATGCGGGTAAGTTGAATAAGCAAAAAAGAATAGCAAACAAATGATAATAACAGCAAAAAAAATTTTAAAGATAATAATGACAAAAAGTTATAATGCAGTTGATGGTCATGTGTGACAAGAATATTTAGATATTGAAACTGTGTGAATGATGTATGGAACTTCAGCTGCGAATGAGAGAAGTTTTTATCAAATTATAACATAATGTCATGAGGTGTGCTTTGAATCGTGCTAGCGTGTTGGCCTCTACTGCTTTTTGAGGCAGTGCATTCCAGGTGCTTATGATGCGATGTGCGAAGAATTGGGACACTTTGTTGGTATGTGCTAAATACGAAACTTTTAAACGATGTGGGTGACCTCTTGTGCGACTGTGCGTGCATTCAAAGAGAGATTCCATTTTTATATCGATCATAGAATGAAGTATTTTATAAACAAATATCAAATCAAATTGGAGTCGTCTCAGTTCTAATGTAACAATATTAAATTTTTTAATACGGTCCATATAACTGCATGGTGTAATACAACAACGATTATAAACATTCCTCGAGTAAGATCTCTGTACATTTTCAAGAATATTTACATTATTTACATCAATTGGGGAATATATGATGGAACAGTAGTCGAGGATGGGACGGACGTAGGTGATGAATGCTTTGAATAGTGTGTGCGGATTGTTTGTGCTAAATGTGCGGAGAATGAGGTTGCTTCGTGCATGTGCAAGTGTTGCAATGTGATGAATGTGTTTTACGAATGACAAGTCTTCAGATATGTGCACTCCAAGATCGCAAATGCTATCAGCACTTTTCAAGACATGATTGCCTATGTTATACGAAACTTTTTCATTGTGGTTTTCAATGTACAGAACAGAGCATTTGTCGATGGACAGCTCCATCTGCAACGCTTCTATCCATCTGTGAACTTCTTCGATAGATTCTTGCAAAGGAGACCTCACAGTGGTTGGATTATAGGTGACGAACAATTTAGCGTCATCAGCATATAGCGAGCAATGAATACGCACGCATTCTGGTAGATCATTTATATACAATAGGAAAAGTATCGGCCCTATCACTGAGGCTTGAGGAACACCAGATGTCACTGCTGATTCTGTGGACAGACAGTTTTCGACAGCAACACATTGGGTTCGGCATGTGAGGAAATTTGTAATCCATTTCAGCAGATTTCCACCGATATTATACTGTGATAATTTATGAATAAGTTTTGCATGAGAGACCTTATCGAACGCCTTTGCGAAGTCGAGATATAACACATCCGTGCAGAGATTTGAATTGTAACAATGGAACCAAGATGATAGCGTTGAAAGCAATTGGAAACAAGTTGATCTTTTGGATCTGAACCCAGACTGAGAGTCTGAGATGAGTGAATATTGTTTAGCATGAAAAAGTATTCTTAGCCTGATGATTGATTCCATGACTTTGCACACGTTACTTGTCAAAGATATTAGCCGATAATTTGTTGGGTTTTCTCGTCCTCCTTTTCTATGCATTGGAACAATAATAGCTTTCTTCCATATAGATGGAATTTCGCCAGTTATAATCGAAGCTTTATAAATTAAAGACAATGGATATGCAATGGCAGTAGCAACGTTTCTTAGGAACAGAGCGGGGAGATTGTCTGGGGTCCGAGAGAGTTTGCTGGGTAACTGAGATAGATACTTTTCAACAATGAAAGGGTCAAAATCTACTGAATTTAGCTGGCTAGCTGTGCAAATTGAGAGACTTGGTAATGAACCATCATCCTGAACGAACACTTCACTGAAATAGTTATTCAATATTTCACACTGTCCTTCGTTATCGTAGCACATTATTCCGTCCAGGCTTTTAATGGCTGCCGGCTGAGTGGTTGTTTTGAGCTCTCTTTTGACGTATTTATAAAATGATTGCACCGTACCCTTTTCGATCAATTTACGTTCCTTTTGTATAACGTACACTCTAATGGCCTTCTTGCAGACGTCCTTTAGTCTCTTGTACTCGATGCTGTTTCCTGTTAGTCTCCAAACATTTCTTTTTCTATTGAAAAGTTTTTTAATGTGATTTGGGTACTGTCTTTTGTAACATTTGCTCAGTGGCACCGTACGTTCGATGACAGACATGAGAACAGATAAGAATTCATTATAGCATTTTTCTACATTAAGACAGTGGAATTTTGAAGACCAGTCTATATTTGATAAAATATAATTAGCTGTGGTGAAATCGCTGCGACGGAAATTTCTGAAAGAAGTGTCAGTGGAACGAGGTTTTTGGATATTAATTTTGAAAAACACAGTACAGTGATCGCTGAAAGGTTCACGTACTTTGACATCAGAAACAGCATCGTTGTGATTGCAGAAAATAAGGTCGAGGATACTGTTTTCCCGCGTGGGTGAGTTGACCAATTGTGTCAGTGAGTTTGTTTGTGCAAAGTTTGTTTGTGTATTTCGTTGTACTTTTCTACAGTTAGAATCTGCTGCGGCGTTATCATTCCAATTTATGTGAGGTGCGTTAAAATCTCCGAGAACGATGGATGGAAATTGAGAAGCATTAATATAATCAGCAATGGGCTCAGAAAGATAATCATATGGAACATTATTGTGATTTGGGTGATGTATTAGAATGGTTCTAATCCTCGAGGATGATGATGCGCAGAAAAGGTCAACGATTATATTCTCATTATGGCTGGTGTCATGTGACTGAACCATGCAGGCAGCTTGAATTCGGTTACGAGAAAGTATGCAAACGCCGCCACCATCGCGACCTTTTCTGTCCCAACGAAATACATTATACTGATGTGATAGAGATAGCATAGCGTCAGTGATATTTACATTACACCAAGTTTCTGTTAAAAACAATAAATCTAAATCATTGAAATGCAAAAAATTCTAATAAATCAATGTTGTTTCTAATCGATTGGCAATTTAATAAAGCGCACTTCACATTCGAACCTACTTCTAGTTGCTTTTGGGTGTTCCGCGACGGGTTTCGTATGGCTGTCGATTTTGCGTGATCTCGACGAGCTTTACATCGTCCGACACGATCCAACGCATCACACCTTCTTTCGTGTTTCGCTCCAGCGCCGTTTTCCATACATTTCGATATATTTCTAGAATTGGCTCCGAATAATCCAGACGAACCTTGCAATCTTTTAGGCCTTCCCGAGTGTTGCGAAACTTTCCGAAATGTCGCACGAGAGTCTTCGAAGTATCGAGGGAGTCGGCCTCGATTTTCAATGGTCTTGATCGATCCGATACTTTCCGGCCAATGCGAAAAACCTTCTTCACAGAATTTCGTTTGACGCTTGCAGAAATTACTAAGTCATTTGCAATAGTTGAGTCGAATTTTTCAGTAGCAGTGTCAGAATTTTGCTCAGGAATATTATGAATCAGCAAGCACTTCTGGCGTGATTGGTTTATGCGGTCTTCTTCAATAGCCTTTACATGGATGGCAATAGCCACAGGATCGGGAGATGAAGATGATGAGGCAACACTTGCGTACGAACACGCTTTTGTTGATTTTGCGGGGGTAGTCTCTTTAGGCGAATTTACGAGGTGATCTTCAATTAATTTCAGATGGTGCTCAATCTTCTCCAAGCGATCACCGAATGCAGTTATTTCTGCTTGAAGGGGGTAAAGTGCCTTTCCCATAGCGATAGCATCAATTTAAGCAATTTCATCAAGAGACAAGTTGGGCATGGTTGAATGGATAGATGCAAATGAGAGAGAAGAAGTTTGACACGACCGCACTTTGACACGACAAACAGGAATATGTTGATGTAAGAACTCGCAAGGAAAGAGTAGTGAAAAAGGGGTTGTGTTTTAAATGTCTCGCTCCCGGACACCTCGCCAAAAATTGTCCAAAGTGAACGAAATGCTTCTACTGCAAGATGGAGCATAATTCCGCGTTATGTGAGAACAAGGGTGAGAGAACTTCGGGTCACGAGAACACGGAAATTCACGAGGGTAAAGAAGTCGTGAATGAAGTGGAGGTGAAACAAATGAAAAACGATTCAGCGTTCACAACAACTGTCATAAAGAATGGAAGTGAGGTCAAAGTAGACCAAAACGTGATTCTTCTATGTAAAAAGGTGCGAGTGTGTAACCCGAAACAGATACACAGATGCATTGAAACGACTGCGTTCTTCGATGCCGGGTGTCAGCGAACATTCATATCAGACAAGTTATTCAACGATTTGAAATTGACCGCTGAAAAGAAGGAAAATATATCAATTGCAGTGTTTGGAGAAGAGATACCAAAATCCTATGACCCAAAGCAAGTGAAGCTATTGCTACAATTGAACGAAGGTAATATGAAGGAAATTAGAGCTGCCACGGTACCAATTCTGACCAAAAAATTAGAAAGAGTAGCAAAAGGTGCGATTAGCGGTAAGGAGAAAGGTGAACAACAATTAAACATTTCCACCATCTGGGAAAAGCCCGAAATAGTGATAGGAATGGACTACTTTTTCGACTTAATTGAAGGATTCGAAAAGTTAGCCTCCGGTTTCTATGTAGTAAGAACAAAAGTAGGGGATATCATTGCAGGAAAAGGGAATGTTGATGTGGAAAAAATAGTAAATTCCTCTCCAGTCATTACCTTCGCTAATTCCATAACCGAGAGCGACAAGGTAGACGTGGATCAATTTTGAAAATTGGAAACATTGGGAATTAGGAACCCAGTAGACACGGAAAAGGAGGTTGCGGCTATTCAAAGATTTCAGTCATCGATAGAGAGAACAGAAGAAGGCAAATGGTGGCATGGACCGGAGTGGCTGGGACAATCCGAAGACAACTGGCCAAAGTGGGAAATCACAGCAAAGACAGATGACTCAATTGCAAACGAAATTGAAGAAGCAGAAACGTATCAAGAAAGAAATGTGAACGGAANCCCAATAACCAATACAAATGTCACCATAGAGGTAGACGAACAAAGAGCTAAGATGATAGTTGATCCTACAAAATTCACTAGTTGGAAAAAATTGACTCTAGTAGTAGGAGTTATTCTGAGATTCATAAAAAATGTGAAAAATCGGTTCAAGTCTCCACTTCAAGCAACAGACATCAAGGAAGCAGAAAAGGTATTGATAAAACAAATCCAAGAAAGATGCATCACGGAGAGGGAGAAACAACGATGGGAATTGTTCAAAGATACAGATAATATATGGAGATGCGGTGGGCGATTGACATACTCCGATCTTCCAAGGGACACGAAATTTCCAATATTCCTTCCATCTCACGTCGTAACAGAAATGATAATCGTAGACCATCATGAAAGATTAATGCATGCAGGACCAGCACATACCTTGAGTCAAATTCGAATGAAATACTGGATAGCCAAGGGTAGATCAAAGGTAAAAAAGACTATTAAGAGAAGGTGTCTAGAATATCGTAGATGGAAGGCAAAACCCTTCAAACTCCCAAAGATTCCCGACCTACCACCACAAAGAATAAGAATAACTCGGAGCTTTGAAAACGTAGGAATTGACTATTTCGGACCAATTAACATAAAAATAAACGTTGATCGTGAGAGAATATTCGTTAAGAGGTGGGTATGTCTGTTCACATGTCTGACAACTAGGGCAACACATCTCGAGGTAGCAAGCAATCTTTCCGTCGAAGCGTTTATCAATTGTTTCAGAAGATTCGTAGCCAGGCGAGGCAAACCTAAACTCATATTAAGTGATAATGGAACAAACTTTGTCGTAGCGCAGAAGTTATTAAGAGAAAGAATCGAAGTACAAGAAAGCGTTGAATGGAAATTTATCACTCCATTGGCCCCCTGGCAAGGAGGTGTGTACGAAAGAATAGTAGGGCTGACAAAGGTAGCGTTGCGCCAAGCTATAAGAAGAAAAACCCTCACCGAAGAAGATTTCCACACTTTTATAGTGGAAGTAGAAGGCATAATAAATAGTCGGCCACTGACATATGTCAGTGAAACCTCCATCGAAGTAATCAGGCCAATTGATTTTCTGATCCCAGGCGCAGAAGTGACTATAAGCGTAGCAACAGAAAACGAATCAAACGATCCTAGTTACCTACCACCAGGTGCCAGCACTCGAGAGAAACAATTTTTTTTTGGCAGACTGAATATCTTAGTTCATTGCGCGAACAAACAAACCGACAACACAAAAACATCAGAGGCGCAAAGGACAGAGATCCAAAGCAAAATGAAGTTGTCATCGTCGAAGATGAAAATGCACCAAGGGCATTTTGGAAGCTAGGTAGGATCATCGAACTACATTACGGTAGAGACAATAAAATTAGGGCAGTAACAGTCCAATTGGGAAATGGATCCAAATTGGAAAGATCTGTAGGACATCTATATCCTCTGGAAATAGGTGCAGAGGAAATCATATCAAATAACTCCGAAACCATCGACCCTCGAGCTGGGGAATGTCGCGAAGATCGCGATATAATGTTGCTTCAAACATTAAGTGCTTGAATTGAATGTGTGCGATACCGTAGTTAATAGTGTGACATTGTGTCGCCGTAGAACCAGTGTTGTTGTTGTTCAGTGTCATTATGTATTTCGTCAATGTATGTGAAAATTTGCGAATTAGATGGTTCTTAATGATGTTATTTGTTGGAAATAGATAGATATTTGATGTATTTTGTTTAATTAATCACTCTATTAATTATTTTCTTGTGGATAGGAATGTTGTTCAATTAACTGTTTGTGCATTTGACTTGATTGAATTAATTGTGGTTTAATTACCCAAGTTTGAGGTAATAAAACAATTTGGAACGTCGAAGAAAAAGGACGTAATCAATTCTGACTGAATATTCAAATTATTCAGATTACAATAGGATCACCTCGAACTGGGAATTGTTAGTTCGTTGCTATTGTAATAGTCTGGAGTCATTTTGACTCAACTACACTGTTATTGTCATTGATGCTGAACGAATAATTCAATCGTATTCAAGTAATTCACGAATCATCCTAATCCACTGAATCTCCTGATTACTCTACATCGATTCTGTGGTATTATTGAATTCTCTTCGTCAACAACTAGCGCCGGCGCAGCTTTACTAAACTAAACATCAACCCTTCGGACAGAATCGCCAACCAGACACCAGATCGGACCGCAAGGAAATATCGTTGGTGCAAATTCATTGTTGTTGCGAGTTATTGTTCGGATAGTTTTTTGTGTGAGTACAGAATTGATTGAATTGAGGTTGTTGCTGAGTTGGTTCATTGAAGGAATAATTGCAAGTTACTATTGTCGTTTTCTTGTTTGTGGTTATTGTTTATAACTAATAAACTCATCGTTGTTGCACTACGAACCTGTCACAGTGTCTCATATACCAATCACGGTATTTCGAGAACCGGAAAGAAATTATCTTTGTTGTGAAAGTAACAATGCAGAAAGTATCTGTAGGTTGGTGATAAACAGTTCGGAATGAGTAATTGCAAAAAACCGACTATATCTCCACTCATCAAAGTTCTAACGGGAGAACAAATATCGAAAGCTTCAGTCCCCATCACCCACTGTCGCCGCTGGATTATATCAGCAGTATTGTTGCTATTCAATGCAATAGCCAGTTACCTAATATTAAGGTGTCACCTCAACCCGTACAAATTTTGCAAAGACCTCAACCCATATAAATTGAACCGAACAGACTACAAACTGAGGAATAACAGACACCGTTCCCACAGGCAGCAGCAAACTACTGGCATCTAGGAAACAGACTAATCCATGCGTCTGCTGCAGCGAAAGCAAAAGTGCCGTCGAACTGTCGCTACCTCGAATGAGAAATCCACTCGAACGTGCAACAACCACCTGAATATGGAACAACAGCCGATGCCAGATACCCGACTCGCCGCCTTTGCAGAAAATCGACCGAACCGTTCGACTGCTATCGCACTAGCCATACAAACCACCGGCAATCCCAAACTCGCTCAAACGGCCGCCGCAGCGCAAGTAGCATCGGATTTCCAGTAACTTGTGATTATCTCGTTAAATTAAATTAGCTGGCGTTGTTTTGTAATTATTGTTGTTTTATTTGTTGATTCATGTTTAATTGTATTCATACCTCATTTTCTCGAACGTATTCGTTTCATTCCAGCTATCCTCGATAATGAATTATTTTATTCGTTTCGAGAATGCATCACCCACGTCGCTGGGAGTGTTGTATGCTAGCGAATTAAGAATGTAGTAAATAGTATTCATTGATACAACTGTTGTTTTCCTTATCTCAATTGCATTGAACAGTATTTGATAATATAATTGTTTACTGCAGTTATGTAAAAAACAATTGACCTCTATTCACACCATCCGTTCCCAATTAGTTATCTTCTATGCTTACTTATCCCATCACCTTGCCTTTGTCGCACCGCCGTTTTATTAGCGATTCTGGCGCAATTCCTCCGTACATTGTCACATGGCCGTTTTATGTGCGCTTCTGGCGCAATAAGCGGCATACTCTTCCTTAGCTTCACATGTTAATAATCGTTGACAAATTGGAGAAGCAGTTAACCTCCGCCCTTCTCCTCGGGTTTGTCCATATCGGCAGTCTAAAGGTTCCAACAGAAACAAAGTCGGTTGCTCTTCCCCCATCCATCCTTCCCACAATTGCGGTCAGTGAAACAATTTACGTTGGTCGTACTTTTTCTGGCAGAATTTGAATTCTTTGAACATGAACTGAGAATTTTCATTCACCCAAATTCTACTGACTAACGATAAGTAACAAGTATTGAATAAGTCAGCGGAATGCTTCGCATATAGAGAGTGATGTCTCAGCTGGTGTTATATGGATTACTTAAGTTAGTAATATCACCATTCGTTCAACACTGTTCCTTTACGCCTATTCTACTACAATTCGTTTCCGCATTTTTAAGCCATTCTGTTCTTTTCTCTACACAAGACTAAAAAAATTGAAGATTTTCTGTTCTCTTATTCCCTGTCTTTTAACGGTTCCGTTCGAGAAGGTGGAAGTGGAACAGAGCAATTCATTTGAAATTGATACATCATTGGTGTCGATGATGATCCTGAAACTAAAATTACCCGCAGGACAAGTGCGTATTTCCAATCAGGTATTTTGCGTACTATTTCCATGCAATCCAAATAAATTCTATCTGTGCTATGTCCAGCACTGTCTACATGAAATTCGTCCATTGATAAATAAACGTTTCAGAAACATTTCGATAAATTTTGCCTTTGTTCGGGAAATATTTTGATTGTTTTTTGTTTCAACCGAATAACAATACGCGTTCATCGGAGAATACATCAGGTTAAAAATAATCTCTTGCGGATGATAATCCTAACCAATATGAATGGCAATTATCGTCAACTGTAACAGACGTTCTCTTCAGGCTTTTGCTTCCTATACCATCAGGTTCTCTCGTCAAAACTTTTTCATTCTTTTCCTAGTAGTGCATAAAAATTTCATTCTCATCACAATTCACTGCAGTCATCTTCTAAGACCTGATTGATGGTAACATTGAAATGAAACATTTATGAGCGCAAAGAATATCAGATAACAATGTACTCTGTTATCAGAAAGCAGGCTAAAAATAAAGCACTCAGTTTTACATGGGAATGGATGGCAAGGAAACACGAAAATTGAATGATTATAACGGAATGGAACATTAGAAACATCAAAATAACGAATAACCAATTTATTGCAAAAAATTGATACAATGCTGAAATGCAATTAATTGCTTCATTCGATCGTTTCCATTTACAAAACACCAATTTTTTTCACTCACCAGCTTTTTCACCTATCTGAAAACGAATTATTCGAATCAGTACTTCCAAAATGAGCAATTTTGAGGAGGAATTCTGGGTTTGAGGCAAGTTTGAAGATGTTTGCGGAGAAAAATAGAATACCTTTACACAGATATCAAATGAATGATCATCCATTAGCAGTTTGTCACCACA